ATATGTATAAAGTGCCCACCATTTAAATATTTAATAAACATTAATTCATTTTTTAAAAATAGTAAAACATACCAGCATATAAAATGATAACAATTCTTACCCTTGACTAGCTGCAAGGGAATCTGGGACAAGTATATTTTAGCCTTTCAAATTTTTCAAGACATAAAGGCTGTAATAGAGTATGGACTGAGTGCCTGTTCTACATGTTCAACATAACTATTAAGCATTCTTCTCCCATGTAATTCTCTGTCCTTTGAATGACCAGAGAAGCACATTTCAAAATGCATTCTGATATTACAGAACTGTGAGGTAATGTTACAAATGCAATTCAGTAATTTGTACAACTAGTAAAGTGGCAGAACTGGAATTTGAATCCAATCAATTTGTATCCAGAGCCAGTATTTAATTACCATTCCTAACTGCACAATAAGATGTTCCTGTTCTATATTTAACGTTGAACCACTAAATGTATTTCCAAAACTTAAAGTGTTGTATATTCAAGTTATGTGACAAAATGTCCAATACCAAACTTATTTCATATTGCCATTAAATTATATAATATATACAGAGATATAGAGTAAATTTCAAACTATATTAGTCAAATAAGAAAAATGCATTTAACTTAAATATTTGTTGAAAATTTTGGATAAATCTGAAACTGACTACTTCTTAAAATAGCAAGGATTTAGCCATATTCATGTGATTTAGAAAAAAATTCTTGTGCTTCTGCTTCACATGTTAATCTACACTTTTGAATTTCCTTATGTGAAGATTTGTAATAAATATACTGCCTTCCCCCGCTTGGTACAGACCATGTAAATGGACACTGCACAAGTCCAACTTCTCAAAGTTGCAGTTCTGGAAAACGTCTTTCTAGTGCTGATGTTTCAAAAGTAAATCGCTGGGCTCCTGGAAGACCACCATTTCGAAAGGCACAGTCAGCTGCTTGTATGGAGATTTCTCTACCAGTTACAGCAGAAGGTAGGTTGAACATATCAATTTTTGTGAATAAAGTTCAATGTACCACAGTAGCAGATGGTGGGAGACAAGCTATGAAAGTCACATTTATAGGCAGTAACTGAGAGCTTGGTAAGGCTACCACCACGATGAGAATTAGCTGAGGGATGAAAAGAAGAAAGTAGGAATACTTACTATATTTTATTTCATGGAAAATTAGTCTAGGGAACTTATGTCTCTTTCTATACAAATAGTTATGAGACACATTTGCACCTATCCAGAGGGGAAGGAAAGTGAAGGTACTAAAAAGAAAAATATAAGGAATTTGTACCCTACAGCAATTAAAAGAACAGTACAATTTCACTAAAACTTGACTGAAATTAGTGAGGTTATGCTTGTCCAAGTGTGCACATGTACAAGTGTTGATAATCCAGAGAATATGAAACCATTCTGTTTCCTTTGAGCGAGCTGAAACTCAAGTGATCAGAAAGATTACCACCATAGATAGGATGGCATAGTCTTCAGCTTTTTATTTGGCCATCAGCAAAGTTGGAATGGGATTTGGATTCAAGGTAGGCAGCTTGATACCCATTCAGAGAGATAATATTTGCATTTTGGCTTCGTATAGACTTTGATTTTTATAGCTGTAATATAATGTGTTTATCACAGAATATTTATGATCTAAACTTTCATGTCAGTAGCCACAATAGTGTCACTAAGTGGGAAATTCCAAGAAATCATTAAGAACATTTTTGACAATTGAAAGATAGGAAAACAGTACAACTTATTAAAAATTCTTATAACTTTGACTATTTAGATTGAATATATTTTCCAGGTTAAGGAATTTTAACTAATATGTGAGGTAATGTAGAAAAAGAAAAAATGATAAACTGAAACTCAGGAGACTGAAGGCCTAGTCTTAGCTCTGCCTAATTTTAAGATTTATACTTCCGGACTTCAACTTCTCCATTTTCTAAATAAGCTGGTGAGCTTTATAAACTACCTTCTAGATCAATTAATGAATGAAATTCTACTTTCTGTTCATAATTTTAGTCTTCATATTTTAAACTGACTTCACTTATTTTGGAAATATACTAATATTTAATTTTTATCTTTACATTTTCCATAGAAAACCGAGAGAATTCCTATAATCGTTCTAGAAGCTCTAGTATCTCCAGTATTGACAAAGACTCAAAAGAAGCAATTACAGCATTATACTTTATGGAATCCTTTGCACGAAAAAATGACTCTACCATCTCCCCTTGTCTATTTGTTGGAACTAGTCTGGGAATGGTGTTGATCTTTTCCCTAAACCTACCAATATCAGATGAACAAAGGTTTACAGAACCAATCATGGTACAGCCAAGTGGTAAGAGTTTTTATTCATTCACTCCCTCATTCTTTTATCAAATTTAGATAAAAGGTATTGATAATTTGGGGTTTTGTCTTTCTTTACTTTTTTGTTAGTGCATGTTTATGATGTATAATAAATGTTTTTATCATGGAAAATTGGTATATATACATATTGCATCTTGACCTTTTTTATTTTCCCTCATCCCCCTTCCCCTGCACTCTCATATCCATTTCCTGTATTAATGTGGAATAAAAACTGCATTATGTGCCATAAGAACTGAGAGTTTCATAAATCATATATTATTCCAATATTTGTCATGTTGTGGCTTACCTGTCCTTCAGGGTAAAACAGTAGAATCATTTCTATGGTAGTAAATTGTGCAACTGATAACCTTAATGCCTTAAGAAATAAGTTCTGAAAAACACTGAGGAAAACCTTAATGGAAAAATTAAATTTATTTTTAATGAATTGAAGTGTTTCTCCAAAGTTCTATGCCAGATTGGAGCCTGTGAGTGTTTTTACATCATCCTTGAAGAACTCAGAACAATTAAAGAAGACACTGTCTGACCTAATACAGATTTCTAAAATCTTTTACAATCGTCTCATCTTGTTTCAAAGATATATCACACAATATCTCTTTTATTCTAGTGCCTGGAGAATTTAATCTGTTTTAAGTGTTCTTGCTAAGGTATATGTTATATTATTTTCCTATTTGAGTTTTCTTTTTTTCCTTTCAAAGAAAGGATGAGTATGACTCCCCTTGTGTATTGTTTGGCTTTCCAACTGCTGGCACAAAATGTCTGACATACACAACTTAAGCTAGGAAATAGGTTATCAGGCTCATAATTTCAGAGGTTTCAGTCCCTGGTTGTCTAGCTCCAAGGTAAACATCATGGCAGAAAGTCATAGGGGAGCAAAGCTGCTCACTTTATGGCAGCCAGGTAGAGCTCTAAGGGAAGAATACTAACAAGGGATAAAACCTCCAGAGGCACAACACCAATGACTGACCTCCTCAAACTGGACACTACTTCCTGGAAGCATATTCAACTATGAACATCAGTGTATTAGTCTGCTCATGAGTATAGCACCCCTATGGTCCAGTCACCTCTCCAGGAGTCTCTTTGTCAAGTCAAGCGGGGGGTGCTTCTGGTGCCCACGCAGCTCACCTTCTCTGCTCTAGGAGCTTGGGATGGTGGTGGGGGAGCTTCCTTCCAGGTGCTGGGACTGGCTCAGCTTCTCTGCCCTAGGAGCTTGGGATAGCGGCGGGGGAGCTTCCCTCCTAGTACTGGGACCAGCTCACCTTCTCTGCCCTAGGATCTTGGGATGGCAGTGGGGGAGCTTTCTTCCAGGTGCTGGGACCAGCTCAGCTTCTCTGCCCTAGGAGCTTGGGATGGTGCCGGGGGAGCTTCCTTCCAGGTGCTGGGACTGGCTCACCTTCTCTCTTCTCTTTTCTACTTAATGAAGCCCTAGATGAAATCAGCAACCCTCATTACTTTTTTTTTTTTTTTTTGGTACCAGGAATTGAACTCTAGTCTTTGTACTTGCGGAGCAGGTGGCAGAACCACTGAGCTAAATCCCAGACCCTGGACTCATTACTTTCAATACCGCTTATACTCTGATGAAACATATACTTATATTTATAGTCTGAACCTACCCTCAAATTTCTGACACAGATATCTAGCTATTTGAAATCTATATAGATGTCTTATAAACATCTCAAAATTAACATGTGAGAAACTTAGTTCCTGATAGTCCTATCCTTTTTCCCAAAGTCTTTCTGACATCTATTAATGGCAGTTCTATACTTCAAGCTCTCAGAACAAAAACATTGTTGTCATCCTTGTCTTTCTTTCACACCCTATCAAATAGTGGCTTGACCTTCACAATATACTCAGATTCTGACATTTCTCACCATCTCTATTTTTACCACTTGGTTCAAGCAAGCCTCTGTTTCTCACCTGGATCATTATGCTATCCTCTTTATTGCTCTCCTTCTTTCCAACCTTGATATCCTTTAGGATGTACCCAACAGAAAGAGTGATCCTGTTAAATTATATCACTCCTATTATCAAACCTCTCATCTCATTCCAAGTAAAAAGTCTAAGAAAATCTGTAACGTGCCCTACAACATCCACCTACATAACGGTGCTGCTTTATTTCTTTGATTTCATCTCCTATGAGTCTTCCCTTTGCCATTCTAGAAAATTAAGATCTATTAAGAGTCTGATATTTTACTCTGTGTGCAAGATAAGTTAGATTTCCAGCTGCATGGATGCTGACAGAAGACATGAGATTCTGGGATCAGAGAAAAAAGATATTAGTAATAGCAGTCATAGAAAAGCAGTATTTTGTTCTGGTTTCCTGAGCTTTTATGCCAACGGGATAATGCAAAGAATCCTTCCCTTTTGCATTAGTCTACTGTAGGAAACAAAGCAGCTGTTTTGGCAAGGGCAACTCATTGAGAAATTGTCATTTTCATGCAGACACCTATAAGCATTGAGAATAAGTAAGATGGCTTCCAAAATATGTTTCTTATCTTTTACTTTGTTTAGTTGGTTGATTGGTTTTTTAAGACAGTTTTTCACTAGCTAGTCTAAGTTGGCCTCAAATTTGCTTATGTAGCCCAGCAGTCTGGCTTTGAATTTGCAATCCTCCTGCCTCAGTATCTTAAGTGCTGAGATCACAGGGATGTACTACCATGCACAGTTTCTTTTTAGCCATGTTAGGCCTTCTCTAAATCAAGGATGTGAAGGTATTTATATAGTCATGCATTACTTAATGACAAGGGTACATTGTGAAAAATGCATTACCAGGTGATTTTGTCATTGTATAAGCATCAAAGAGTGTACTTATACAATTCTAGGTGACATATGTCACTCATTCAATGTGATCTCAGGTACAACCAACAGACATGATAACATGAAATGTATGAGACTGCCACTGGTGTAACAGAGCACACTGGTTTTTTGGTTTGGGTTTTGGTTTTTTTTGCAGTACCTGGGATCGAACTCAGGACCTTGTGCTTGCAAGACAGGCGCGGTGCCACTTAACTAAATCCCCAGCCCCAGAGTTACTGTTTATAGTAACACTTCTTTAATAAGTAGAATAATACACTACAAAATAATGATAAAAATATCATAAATACAGGAAGCAGTCATAGTGATTATTATGATTAGTATTTTGTATTATACGTAACTGTATATGCTACTCTTTTATGTGATAGACCATACAGTAGGTTTGGGATTTATTTTTTACCAGCATCACCATAAACATGTGAATAATGCATTATGATGCTTACAGTATCACTATGTAATAGGAATTTTTCAGCTCCATTATAGTTGCATAGGACCACCATGAAATATGTGGTCATCATTAAACAAAATGATGTTATGCAGGTCTTTCTATAGCAGGTAGTTATGAAATTGTGGTTTTATAGAGTAGCATAGTCAGTCCTGAACGAATCCTAATTAAATCATTCTTCATGGGGGCCGGGGATTTAGCTCAGTCATTCCTGCACCTGCCTTGCAAGCGCAAGGTCCTGAGTTTGATCCCTGGTACCAAAAAAAATGATTTTGGGCCAGGGATTTAGCTCAGTGGTTTCGCTGCCTGCTCTGCAAGTGCAAGGATCCGAGTTCAATCCCCGGTACCAAAAAAAAAAAATCATTCTTCATAACTTTTGACATTATTCTTTTTTCATGGGATTTTGAGAGAATTATTCTTTTATAACTTCATTTTTAAACTGAAACACCTAAATTGATACAACCTATCTTCTCAGTTGCTTTTATAAGACACATTCAGGTTTCTTAAAGTATGTTTTAAAATGTAATTGAGATATTAGATCCTCCAAATAGTTATTTTGAATTTGGTAAACTTTAAGTACTTTATAGGTCAGTTACTTTCTAAACAATGTGTTTTCATCTGTTACCCTTCCCTCTTCAAGTCTGTGTTACATTTATAATCTTGAGACATACCTGCCTGAATTAAGACCCTTACTCTCTCTACATAATGTCAAAGAACAAAGGAAAATAAAGACTAGTAGGACATTGCTCAAGGGAGAATCTGGAAATATTCGAAGATCCATATAGCCCAAATTACCTCTTTACCTGTCTAGTACACTGTCGTCTGAGATTGGTAAAAATCACTCATAATTAATGATCTGGCATAGATATTCAACCTTGTTGAATCCAGGTGAGTGAACACATTTTCTAATTAAGATGGATATTCTTGCCAAAGAGCTAAAGGTAGTTATTTTTAAAGATTTTTGTTTTCTATATTATTAAAATTGCTCTCATGAACTATAGACATTAAAGTTTCATGAAATTTATTAAGTGTTCAATTTCAGATAAAGAAAAATGAAGAGCTGAGGATTTAGCTCAGTGGTTCTGTTGCTTGCCTTGCAAGCAGAAGGTCCTGAGTTTGATCCCCAGTACCACCAATAAAAAAAAAAGAAAGAAAGAAAAATGAAGCCAGGCATGGTGGCAAACACCTGTAATCCCAGAATTTGGTAGGCTGAGGGAGGAGGATCACTGTGAGTTCCAGGCCAGCCTTAACTACAAATGAGACCCTGCCTCAAAAAAAACAAAAAAGAAAAATTACCAATTTATAGAAAGTGAAACTGAAATAAGAAAATAAAATCAGCTTACTCTTAAGTAAAATAAATAGGACACCCATGTATAAATACCGAATAGTTTCTCTGGTGTGAGAAACTGAAAGTGTAAATAAGGACTAAAAAGTATAACAGATAATGTGAAATAGGAAAAAAAAGGGGCAAAGGGGAAGGGGAAGTGGGAGGGGTAGGGGAAAGGAAAGAAGGGGATGGAATTAATATGAGAAAATGGAAAAATGGAAACAA